CGCAATTTATTTTTTTTTGTAATTTCAAATTATTATTTTTTTCTGCCCCTCTCCCGTGGAAAAAATATTTTTTTATATATATTTTTAGTAATAACTACGAGCTCAAGTGAACCCATAACTTTCGACGTGAAGTAAAAATTTGTATGTAAAAATTTATTAAAATTGTAAAAAAAATAGATATATGCCCATAACTTTAAAAATATAATGGGTTCAATGTTAAAAATATTAAAATTGAATCCATGGGGTTCAAATTCTGGAACCGCTTCTACGTTGGCGGTATGAAATTTGGCTTAAAAAATGGCTCTCACACACCTACAAGAGTGAGGCAAATCACACATGGAATCTAGTCAGCTTTTGCGTCAAAGTGGAATAAAAGAAATAGGGTTGGAGGGCCAAAATAGTATAAGACTGAGTTAAAGTGCCAAAATGAAAAATTGGGTCATATTTAATGGATTGTCTACGTATTTGGCCTATAAAATTTACCTCAAAGCACAAGCAAGTTTACCTTCGCCGACACTATCAATATTCTTTTAATGAAATATTGAGCTCCTCTTTATACTAAATGGCTTTAAAGTTTAAAAATCAACGTAAGTATAATTATAATTGCTAAATTAATCCTAAACCTAAAGTGATATTAATGGCTGAATTTTGCAGTTTTGGTAAAGAAATCTAAAGACAAGGGAATCGTAAATCTAAACAAAGAAAAAATACGTCAAAAAATATTTAGACACAATGAGGGTGTTTGGCTAAGCTTATAAGCTGGTAAACTGGCTTATAAGTATTTTTTGGCTTATCTATGCGTTTGGTAAAATTAAAAGTGCTTATAAGTTAAGTACTTATAAATTAAAAGTCATAAGTTGGTCTTCCTCAACTTATCAAATTTCAGCTTATAAGCACTTCAGGTTTGACCAAAATATTTACTATTTTATCCCCAAAATACTTCTTTTTAAAACAAAACTCTTCGTATACCCAATTCTTCAGTTGCTTATTATTAATTTCAGCACTTTAATCCAAACACATAATTGCTTATTTTTTAAATCAGTTTTAGCACTTAAAAGTGCTTTTCAGCACATAATGCTTATCAGTTACTCTAAATCAGCTAAGCCAAACGGGCTCAATGTCAATTCAACAACAACAGTAAAAGTTATGCCTCAGTCCTTAATTTTTTAGTTTTTCCACCAAAAAGAATTAGTCAATGCCTAACGGGAAAAAAAAGAAGAAGAAAAGGACCTAAACCTAAATCACGGAGACCTGTATTCTAAAAAAAAGGGCAATTTTTTGGTTTTCCTCTACAAAAATAAATAAATAATAGTGAATCCTAAAACTAAACAAAGAAAAGACATGGCAATTTTTTGATTTTTCCAAACAAAGAAAAATTAGTGAATCGTATACCTAAACAAAACAAAAGAATACCTAGACAAAGTAAGATGTAGCATTAATTAGTAACTTTAATTGACAGAAAAATCCAAAATTTTATAATGAATCCAAAGCCTAAATAAGAATAAGTTGTACTCAACAGAAAAAGGCAACAAACGGTAGCTTTTGGTTTTCTTTTCAAGAAAAATAATTAGTATTTACAATGACAATTTTATCCACCATAGAATACACTTATGAAGGGTAAAAAAATTGATTAACATTTCGATAGAGGCTTCGTGCTTTTAGTATAGTATAAATATAAATATAGATATAAATATATACCTTAAAAAAACGTGTTTATCATCAACCTCATAGTAAGAACTATGTTAAAAAATATTATAGAACATTAACAACAATATAGTAACCACAAACAATTTTTAACTTCAAATATTGATGTATGTCATTTCAAAGGGATGATCTACTCTCGAACAAATATTAGTTAAAGCAGAAAGCTAAAGCTAAAGAGACACCAATATTCTAAGATCGACAAAGGCAAAAAGAAGCTCCAGTATTAGCAAGGCCATAAAGTATATAATGAGAGTGTCAAATTACTTCGAGAAGCTAACTATTACACAAGGAACAAATTAAATGAACAGAAAATACATGGAATATTCAATGAGCCAATATCAGACTGGACAGATTATTGCCGCATTTTTCACGAGTCAATAACTAATATTTTACACAAATATGGCAAATAAAGCAGAAAATGGAGGATAATTTTTGGAAAAACCAAATGACATTTTGACCTTCTATCACCATTACCTATCTAAGATTTTCTGCACATGGTAATAGAAGAGGAAAAGCAGAATGTGCAAAAATAAAAACTTGCTAAAGAAATCTTTTAAAAAAGAAGACTCATCGAAATTCTCCCCCAATGATACACTACAAAAAAACGCTAAATTTGCGGCGATTTTATTGAAGCGGTTTCTATAACCTCCGCAATCTATAATAAATTGTGGGGGTTTATTTACCCCCACAAATATATTAAATTTGCGGCGGTCGTTAACCTCCGCAATCATTAAAAAAATAGCGCCCAATGTTTCCCTTGTTTTTTAATCGTTTCCCTCTCTTTTTTTCCCAAACCCCTTTCTCATTTTTGCTTTTTTCACTTTCAGAAATCCACTCTCACTTAATCACTTAATCAAAAATAGCAATATTCCATTTCTTCAGACTTAATCTGCAGATGCCGAACAAAACTTAATCTCTTCCATTTCTTCTTCATTTCCTCTGATTTCAAGCTCTCTGCTTTTCTTCAGCGCCTCATCTTTCTTCAGCGCCTCCTCTGTTGCAAAATGAAAGAGATATGAAAGAAAACTTCAGATCTATCAATCAATTGGATGTAAGTTTATTTGATTTTGCTCTTTCATACAAATTCCTCTTCGATTTTGCTTTGATTTTGCTCTTTTAGTCTTTGATTTTGCTTTTTTGTCTTTCTTTCTTCATGCATGTGGGTTTTAAGTTTATTTTCTCTGTTAATTTGGTAGAATCGGTGTATTTTGAAGAAATTTGGTAGAATTGGTATATTTTGAATCGGCAGAAATTTGGTAGAATCGGTGTATTTTGAAAAAGGACATAACACTCTTTGTTGAAATCGAGATGCAAGTCCTCTTTCTCCTTTCACATTAGGTTCTAAAATTTAGATTTTTTGTGTATTTTGTAGGTTAATTTCTGTGATTGATGTCTTAATTGAAATATTTCCTTTTGCATGTGTATTTTAGAACTCCTAGGGCCCTTCAGAGAAGACGCAATTGTCGCCGGCTGCTTTCCCTCTTTCTGCTCTACTTTGTGTTTGAATCAGTCTCAAGGTACATTTTTTGTTTTTCTGCAGGTTCTGGGCATTTCAGTTCAGGATAAGTTTGTGAATGGTCATTTAATTGTTCGGTCGTGGTCTGGTATAATCCTCTCTTTATTTGAGCACCTAGATTCTGTTTTCTTTGTGATATCTGCTAATAGTGATAGAAGCACTGAATTTCTCGAATCTTTGTTATTTAACTGTCTCCTGCCAAGAAAGATTATGTTCGGAATTCTTCTGCATACCAGGCATCAATAGCAATTGTTGTTATATTCGTAACATTTGGTTCTTCAGTATACAGAATTCTTGATTAGTACTACTATGTGCTGGAAAAGTTACTAAAGGAAGCTGAATTTAAGTTGTTACTTTTGTCATTTTCTAATAATTTAAGGCATCATCAAAGAATATCAGCTCAGACATCTACCTCCATCTTCCTATATTGAACGGATTGATGCATTCTACTGATGTTTGAATCTATGTCCAAATAGTTTCTGCCTTGCTCGTCCACCATTATTAACGTTTCATGTCATCTTTCTTTTGCTCTTTTTTGTTGTCATGTGGTATCAATTAGAGTTCACTTCTGTACTAGGAGCCGATTGAATTATCTATAGAACGCACCATTAATCATCACATGTTTCCTTCAGAAAAATGGAAAAGTTTCTAGTCTTAGTTTTTTAAGGGCCTTTAAATTTGTTGAATGTTCTTTTCTCACATATTGTTCATTTATATACTTCTGAAGACTCTGCTAGTTCATCATTATGTTTTTTATTTGGAACTTAATACTTCTTAATTCCATTTTGGAGATATAATTTGATACTATTAGAGTATAGTTCTCTTTCTTGATTTTACTATTGATCTAGCTACTTAAAGAGAGCACAGGATGCAATATGTGCAAATTTTTCATAGTATTTCTTCCATTACAAATACTAAAATACATACTATTATTCCCTCCGTCCTATATTTGTTATCTTGTTTCTCTTCTTTAGAGTCAATTTGACTAATCTTCAAATCTAAATTAGATTATATCAACTCAATATTTTGAAACTAAAATTGGATATTCAAAAACTATAGGAAAGTACTATAAGTTAATGATGACCCGGTCAGTCGTCTCATGAATTACCGCTTCGTTTTTCCCATTTCTGCTTCTTTATGCTTCATTATCCGTATTTTATGTGGTCGAGTTGATTGGTTTGCGTTTGGTGTGGTTTTGGTAAGAAATGAGACACTTAGTCTCTTTTAATAAGGCTTAAGTTGGAAAAGTCAACCGGATGTTGACTTATGAGTCAGAGGGCTCGGATGTGAGTTTCGATGGTTCGGTTAGCTTCGGGAGGTGATTTGTGACTTAGGAGTGTGATCGGAAGTGATTTTGGAGGCCCGATATAGAATTAGGCTTGAATTGGCGAAGTTAGTATTTTGGCGATTTCAAGCTGATAGGTGAGATTTTGATCCGGGGGTCGGAATGGAATTTCGAGAGTTGTTGTAGCTTTGTTATGTCATTTTGGATGTGTGTGAAAAGGTTTAGGTCATTCGGACGTGGTTTGGTTGGGTTTTTGATCGAAAACGTATTTCGGAAGTTTTTAGAAAACTTAGGCTTGAATTCGATGTGAATTGATGGATTTGGCATTGTTTCAGGTGTTTTGATGATTGGAACAAGTTTGAATGAGGTATAGGGTTGTGTTGGTGCCTTTGGTTGAGGTCCCATGGGGCCTCAGGGTGATTTCGGATGGCTAACGGGAAGTTTTGGAACTTGGGAGATAGTAGATTTTCTACTGCTGCTGGTGTTTTCGCACTTGCGGTTTGGGGACCGCAGGTGTGGTATCGCAGATGCAGGGTTATGGGTCGTAGAAGCGGAAAGGATGGGGAATGCCTGGAACCGCAGATGCGGAAGGGGGACCGCACCTGCGGATCTGCAGATGCGGTGTTGGCCCTGTAAGTGAAATTCCGTAGATGCAGAAAAATGACCGCAGAAGCGGCTATTGGACCGCATATGCAGTTATGTCTGGGCAGTGAGTTTATTAAACATTGCATCCACGATTTTGAGCCATTTTTCCTCCATAGCTGAGTATTTTGAGAGTTCTTTGAGGGGAATTAAAGAGGGATTCGGGGAGAAGTGATTGGAGGTAAGATTTATGAGCATAAAACGTGATTCTATTGTGAAATTATTCTAGAAATTCATGGAAATTTAGCTAAAAATGAAAGAACTAGGGCTTGAGATTTTAAATTAGGATTTGAACGGCCATTTGAGGTCGGAATTGAGAACTCTTGATATGTATGGACTCGTGGAAGGATAAGGAACCCGTTGATGTAAAAATTTCTAAGTTTCGAGAAGTGGGCCCGGGGCTCGGGTTTTGCTAATTTCGGGATTTTTGATATTTTTCGATTATTTTCGCTTGGGCTTTGTTCCCTTAGCATATTGTGACGTATTCATTCTAGTTTTGGTTAGATTCGACGCGCGAGGAGGCCGATTTGAGGGGCAAAGGTGTAGCGAGCTAGGGTTTTACCGGTTCGAGGTGAGTAATGAATGTAAATGATGTCCTGAGGGTTTGAAACCCCGGATTTTCACATCGTAGTGCTTGATGTGAGACACGCACTTGATGATGAGCGTGGGGTCGTGTACTATTGGGGATTGTGACTTGGTTCGTCCTGAGTGATGCTTTTACCACGTATTTTAATTGAAGCTTATTTGTTATCATCATTGTTTGGACTGATTGCCATACTTGGGGCTTCGTGCCAACTATTTGAACCCTTCGGGGAGTTTTATCACTATTTCCTCACTGTTTTGACTTACTACTTGAACTCAGTTGTACCGTTTTCCACTGTTTTACATCTCAGCCACTTTTTACTTGCTTTTGAAACTAAAATGAAATATTAAATGATGTTTTGGGCTGAGAACTACTATTTTACTAATGCTCGAGGGGCTTATATGATTTCTGGAATGAGTACGACCAAGGGCCAGATGTGAGGATACTATGGGATCGGGCTGCGCGCCGCAATAGTGTTATACTGATATTGATATGAGGCCGAGGGCCTAGATTTGATGCCACGAGATGGCTTGATATTGCGCTTTGGCCGTAAGGGGCCCCTCCCGGAGTCTGCACACCCCTAGTAAGCACTGTCGACGATCAATATATGTATCGGGATGCACGCCGCAGCGGGTACTATAGGGTACCGTTCTATGTGTTTGTTTTCTTTATATGTCTTACACTTAATTTCTTATTTGTTGTAGCATTTCCATATTTTGTTTCCATTGGTTTATTGCTTCCATATTACTTATTTAAACTGCCGCATTATAGATTACTCTATGTTTTCCGTGATTTCTTATTCTCAGTCATTATTTATGCTTATTACTCACTGGGTCGGAGTACTCATATTACTCCCTACACCTTGCGTGCAGATCCAGGTGTTCCAGAGGCTGAGTGAGGATTTTCGGTCGATCAGTTCATATCCGGGAGTATCGAGGTAGCTGCACGGCATCCGCAGCCCGGATCTCTCCCTTCTATCCTTTCATTTTATCCGTATTTCCTAGACTGATTATGTATTAGGCTGTTAAACTTGTACTAGAGGCTCGAGACTTGTGACACCGGATCTGTATGGGCTATGTAGTAGTATTATCATCTGAATTTCCGAATATTTAACTCGTTGTCTTAAACTCTTATTAGGGTAATTTAGCAATTTAGTCGTGTTAGCTGATAATGATTTTTATAAGAAAAATGGATTGAGGTTGTTAGTTGGTCAGGCTTGCCTAGCAGTGTGTTGGGCGCCATCACGACCGGGGTTGGGGTCATGACAAGTTGGTATTAGAGCTTAGGTTACATAGGTCTCGCAAGTCATGAGCCGGTTTAGTAGAGTCTCGCAGATCGGTACGGAAACATTTGTATTTATCCTCGAGAGGCTGCAGAACCTTTAGGAAAAACTTCATATTCTTGAAATTCTTGTCGGGCAAACTTGTTGGTCTGGGTACTAAAACTTATGTTATTCCATTCTATCACAGATAATGAGGACGCGAGCTACCAGACGAGGTGGGCGACCACCAGTGCCACCAACTGAGGCCATCGGAGGCTGTGGACGCGGTCGTGAACGTGGAAGAGGTAGAGCAGCAAGGGCAACACCTGTTGATCCACCAGTTGCCCCAGCTCCGGATCAGGCTCCAACAACACCAGTTTAGGCACCAGCTGTGGCCATCGTGATTCCGGGTCTTCAGGAGGCCTTGGCATAGATCTTATCAGTTTGCACTGGCCTGGCTCAGGCAGTTTTAGCCACTACCGCAGCAGATACTTCACAGGCCGGGGGAGGCAATCAAACCCCCGCTGCTCGCACACCTGAGAAGGTAGTGCAAGGACTACAGACACCGGGGGCACCTCTAGCTCAGCCGGTTGCGCCAGTTCAGGAGTTCGTAGTACCAGCCATGCCGGATGATGAGCAGCGTCATCTTGAGAGATTTGGTAGGCTCCAGCCTCCATCGTTCAGTGGTGCTGAGGGCGAGGATGCCCAGGGTTTTCTTGACAAGTGTCAGCGGATGCTCCGTACAACAGAGATTCTTGATTTTAGTGGTGTGCCATTTACCACCTTTCAATTCTCGAGAGCTTCCTTTACTTGGTGGGAGGATTTTGATAGGCATAGGCCTGTCGGTGCAGCACCCATTTCTTGGCGGCAGTTCTCCGCTCTCTTCTTGGAGAAGTATGTACCGCAGTCCCGTAGAGAGGAGCTGTGTAGGCAGTTTGAGTGGTTGACGTAGGGGGGTATGACCGTGACCCAGTATGAGATGAGGTTTTCTAAGTTGGCTCGTCATGCCATTTGGATGATTCCGACAGATCGTGAGAGGGTCAGGAGATTTGTGGATGGCCTTAACTACCATCTTCATATTTTGATGACTAGAGATAGAGTATTGGGTGCTACGTTCGAGGAGGTAGTTGATATCGTTCGTGAGATTGAGATGGTTCGCCGTAGGGAGCGATAGGAGAGGGAGGCCAAGAGGCCTCGAGGATCGAGCAGTTGCAGTGGTGCTCCGTCGAGGGGCCAGTTCCAGCATGGTAGAGGTCGTTCTTTCAGGCCTACTCAGTCGGCCCGTCAAAAGTATCGTGGGGCATCTTCAGGTCGTGGTCATCATGGGTCTCAGCAGGGCCAGCCTTCATTCAGCGCCCTCCCAGCTCAGAGTTCATCTCATGCCCCATCAGCTCAGGGTTCTTCTGTGCCGAGTGCATCTTCTAGTCACTCTGGTGCGAGGGGTTCCCTTTAGTCCCCATCTCCAGCACCGGGTAGTTATTATGAGTACGGAGAGTGTGGACATATGAGGAGGCAGTGCCCTCGACTTCGTGATGGTCAGTTTCAGCAGAGGGTCAACCCTCGACTTCTGCTCCAGTTACTTTACCACCCGCCTAGCCAACTAGGGGTGGAGGTCAGGCAGCCAGGGGTCTCCCCAGAGGGGGAGGTTGATCAGGCGGTGGCTAGGCTCGTTTCTATGCTATTCCAGGCAGGACAGATGTTATTGCTTTAGATGTTGTCATTACAGGTATTGCTTTAGTCTGCCACAGAGATGCCTCTGTATTATTTGATCCAGGTTCTACCTATTCTTATGTATCCTCATATTTTGCTCATTATTTGGGTATGTCCCGGGAGTTTCTTACTTTACATGTTCATGTGTCTACCCCGGTGGGCGATATTGTTGTTGTGGACCATGTGTACCGGTCATGTGTTGTGACTATTGGGGGTTTGGAGACCCGAGTTGATCTATTGCTATTGAGCATGGTGGACTTTGATGTTATTTTAGGAATGGATTGGTTATCTCCGTGTCATGCTATTCTAGATTGTCATGCTAAGACAGTCACTTTGGCTATGCCGGGTGTACCGCGGATTGAGTAGCGTGGCGTGACTGATTATGTTCCTAGTACAGTGATCTCTTTCTTGAAGGCCCAGCATAAGGTTGGGAAGGGTTTTCTATCATATCTAGCATTTGTGAGGGATGTTGGAGTTGAGACTCCCAACATTGATTTTGTTCCAGTCGTGAGGGATTTTCCCGATATTTTTTCTGCAGACCTGTCGGGCATGCCACCGGACAGGGATATTGATTTTGGTATTGACCGGTGCTGAGCACTCAGCCCATTTCTATTCCGTCGTATCATATGGCACCAGCAGAGTTGAAAGAATTGAAGGAGCAGCTTCAGGAACTCCTGTATAAGGGGTTCATTAAGCCTAGTGTGTCACCTTGGGGTGCGCCGGTTCTGTTTGTGAAGAAAAAGGATGGCACGATGAGAATGTGCATTGATTATAGGCAATTGAACAAGGTAACAATTAAGAACAAGTATTCTTTGCCTCGCATTGATGATTTATTTGATCAACTTCAGGGAGCAAGGGTGTGCTCTAAGATTGATCTTCTTTCGGGCTATTACCAGTTGAAAATCAGGGATTCAGATATTCTTAAGACTACTTTCAGGACTAGATATGGTCACTATGAGTTTCTTGTCATGTCTTTCAGGCTGACCAATGCCCCAACAATGTTCATGCATTTGATGAACTGTGTATTTCGACCTTATCTGGATTCGTTCGTTTTTGTATTCATTGATGATATTCTGGTGTACTCGCGTAGTCAGGAGGAGCACGCGGAGCATTTGCGAGTTGTATTGCAGAGATTAAGGGAGGAGAAGCTTCACGCAAAGTTCTCCAAATGTGAGTTTTGGCTCGGTTCTGTGGCTTTCTTGGGACACGTGGTGTCCTGCGAGGGTATTCAGGTTGATCCAAAGAAGATAGAGGCGGTTCAGAGTTGTCCTAGACCGTCCTCAGCCACAGAGATTCGTAGCTTTATTGGGTTGGCGGGCTATTATCGCCGGTTTGTTCAGAGATTCTCATCCATTGCATCGCCCTTGACTAAGTTGACTCAAAAGGGTGCTCTATTTGTATGGTCAGATGAGTGTGAGGAGAGCTTTCGGAAGCTCAAGACAGCTTTGACCACAGCTCCAGTATTGGTTTTGCTATCAGCTTCAAGTTCATATACCATATATAGTGATACTTCGAGAGTTGAGATTAGTTGTGTATTGATGTAGGAGGGTAGAGTTATTGCTTATGCTTCTTGTCAGTTGAAGCCCCATGAGAAGAACTACCATGTTCATGATTTAGAGTTGGCTGCCATAGTTCATGCATTGAAGATTTGGAGGCATTACTTGTATGGCGTATCTTGTGAGGTATTCACCGATCATCGCAGTCTTCAGTAGTTGTTCAAACAAAAGGATCTTAATTTGAGGCAGCGGAGATGGCTAGAGTTGCTTAAGGATTATGATATTACTATTCTGTACCATCCAGGAAAGGCTAATGTAGTGGCCGATGCTTTGAGCTGAAAGGCAGTGAGTATGGGAAGTTTGGCGTACATTCCAGTTGGGGAGAGACCCCTAGCAGTTGATGTTCAGGCCTTAGCCAATTGGTTTGTGGTACTAGATATTTCGGAGCCCAATCGGGTGTTAGCTTGTGTGGTTTCTCGGTCTTCCTTATATGATCGCATCAAAGGGCACCAGTATGATGATCCGCATTTGCTTGTCCTTAAGGACAGAGTTCCGCATGATGATGCCAGAGAGGTGACCATTGGTGATGATGGTGTGTTGAGGATACAGGGCCGGATTTGTGTGCCCAATGTGGATGGGCTTAGAGAGTTGATTCTGGAGGAGGCCCATAGCTCGCGATATACTATTCATCCGGGTGCCGCGAGGATGTATCAGGACTTGAGGCAGCGCTATTGGTGGAGAAGAATGAAGAATGATATTGTTGGATTTGTAGCCCGGTGTCTCAACTGTCAGCAGGTAAAATATGAGCATTAGAGATCGGGTGGCTTGCTTCAGCAGATGGTTATTCCCGAGTGGAAGTGGGAGAGGATCACTATGGACTTTGTGGTTGGACTTCCTCGAATTTTGAAGAAATTTGATGCTATTTGGGTGATTGTGGATCGGCTGACCAAGTCCGCGAACTTCATTCCTGTGTGTACTACCTATTCTTCAGAGCGGTTGGCAGGGATTTATATCCGGGAGATTGTTCGGTTGCATGGTGTTCCGGTTTCCATCATCTTAGATAGAGGTACTCAGTTTACTTTGCAGTTTTGGAGAGCCGTGTAGAGAGAGTTGGGTACTCAGGTGGAGTTGAGCATAGCATTTCATCCTCAGACGGTCGGACAGTTCGAGCGTACTATTCAGATATTGGAGAACATGTTGCATGCTTGTGTTATTGATTTTGGAGGTTCATGGGATGAGTTTTTGCCGCTTGCAGAGTTTGCCTACAACAACAGCTACCAGTCGAGTATTCAGATGGCTCCGTATGAGGCTTTATATGAGAGGCGGTGTAGATCTCCGGTTGGGTGGTTCGAGCCCGGCGAGGCTAGACTATTGGGGATAGATTTGGTTCATGATGCCTTAGAAAAGGTGAAGGTGATTCAGGAGAGGCTTTGTACAGCGCAGTCGCGCCAGAAGAGTTATGCAGACCGAAAGGTTCGAGATGTATCCTACATGATTAGTGAGAAGGTCTTGCTGAAGGTTTTGCCCATGAAGGATGTTATGAGATTTGGAAAGAAAGGGAAGTTGAGTCCGCGGTTCATTGGGCCTTTTGAGGTGCTTCGGATGATTGAGAAGGTGGCTTATGAGCTTGCTTTGC